GGATCAGAAAGAATCTAAGAGCCAGGGAATAGAGGGGAGTGTGCGCCAAGTATTACCTTCTAGTCATAGCTGTTGCCCTCCTGAACTCTGTAGATTTGAACACTACCCATGTATGAGCCAGCTTTCATCACCTCATCACGGGCCCATGAGGACTTGTCCCTACCGGAGGGAATATGGGCAGGTGATACTGTTGGGAGAGGGTGTCATTTTTCTCCTGGTGTAGCCACTAGTAAGATGGCTCCTGCAAGGGAGCCTAACTAAAGTCTATGGGTAACACACCACAAGAAGACTTGAAAGAGGGCAGGGAGACTTTCTGAGAAGTGTTCTAGTGAAGAGGAGGAGGTAAGACAGGGAAGAAATGGGATATAAGAAGAACTAAAATTCATTATATAAATGTAAGAAATTGTCAACCATTTTTTAAATGCTACCCAGAAACTGGCTATTTGCATACAAAAAAAAAAAAAGAGCTTAGGTGAATAACTTGTATAACTTATATGACCTCAACATACAAAAATAATATGAAGTGGCCTATGAATCTAAAGTAAAATATGAAAACTTAAAACTTTTAGAATGAAACAAAAGGAAAATATTTAGGCACTTTAGGTGAGACAAATATCTCTTAGATACTAAACCAATTTAGGATTAATGAAAATCAAAACAATATATTGGACTTTATCATATGTTTTAAAAACTTTAATCTCCATAACATGATAAAGAAAGTGAAAAAGGCAACTCTCAGACTGGAAAATAATTATTGTAAGATATATGCAAGGAACCCAAGTTTAGGTTGAAGTATTAAGAAGTAACTTAAAATGACCAAAATCCTTTAACAGAAATTCTGTGAATGGAATATGTGGATGGTGACTGATCACATCACAAGATGTTCACCACTGCTAGTCCTGATGGACAGCAAAATGGCTCCTGGTGTTGGTGCTCACCTGGAATCCCAGCTGATGGAAGGCAGAGACAGGAGAATAATTGCAAGTTCAAGACCAGCCTGAGATACACAGCAAGTTCTGGGCCAGGCAGGCTACAAAGTAAGGCTCCATCTAAAAAGAAGTCAGTGAAATACTACTATTAACCTATTTGAATTTCCAAAACTTAAGCAACCACACCAAGAACTGGAGACATAAGATCATGAGGGTCTCAAACACAGCTCATGGGAGTATCAAATTCAACCACACTGGTAATTAATTTTACACTTACGTAAAAAAAAAAAATTAAATTAAATTGTATCCATTTACCATAGATCAAGCCACTCCAAACCTATGCTTTTACTAAAGAGAAATGAAAACAAACTCCATATGCAAAAAGTTATACACACATGTTCTTAACAATGCAGCTATTTTGCAATTACTGAAACCTGAAAATAATCCAAGTGTCAACCAACAGATGAATAAGCCAGTGGGTTGCTTCTACAGAATATAATGCTACACAATTACAAAAGAATGGACTATTGCTTATACAATAATCTAAATGAATCTTGGAGTAACTGTACTGAAAGAAGCCAAGCAGCAAGCAGCGACTTAAGTGTTTTATTGGTTAGAAAACACTAGAATGCCGACTTACTCTATGGTAACATCGCTGCAGGTCGAGGTTTGAGGGTTATGAGAATGTAAAAGATTACTGTGGGACACAAGGAAATGTTTGGATATTGTTCTAGCTTGCTTCCTACTTCAGTGATGAAACACCAACCAAAACCAACTTGGAGAGGAAAGGGCTTATTTCAGCTTACAGGTCACAGTTCATCCTTGAGGGAAGCCGAAGCAGGAACCAGGAGGCAGGAACCGAAGCAGAAACCACAGAAGAATTCTTACTGGCTTGTTTCTTTGTCTGTTTGTTTGTTTGTTGTAGATATAACCCAGGGCCATTTTCCCAGGGGTGGCACCACTCACAGCAGGCTTGGCCCTTCCCTGTTAGTCATGGAGAAAATGCACTAGGGGCTTATCAACAACAGGCCAATCTGATGGAAGCAACTCCCCAGTTGAAATTCCCTCTTCCCAGGTGACTCCAATTGTGTCATATGGACAAAAACAAAATAAAAATAAATAACCAGCATAAGAATGATAAGTATGATAAGTCACTAATTTGGTGTCAAGGTTTCTATCACAGATGCAAACATGTTATGTTTTCAAAATTTATGTGCAGTTTATATGTGTTAGTTTTACTTTAACTGAGTTGGAATTAGAGAGCAATGAAGAAGAAAAGTGGGCAAGAATTAAAGGGAAGAAGAAGAAGAGGTGAAGGAGAAAGAGAAGAAAGAAGAATAAATAAAAAGATGACGGAGAAGCAGAAGAAACTGACAATCAGAACCCTGTTTTTCCACATTCCACTCCAGCCAGCACTAGTTGCCAAGGGAGGTCAAGGACATGGGCTTCCTAGAAACACAGCCCAAACAGGAACCACTCACCCTAGGTTAGACCTCCAGCAGAGTTCTCTACCCCAGTTTATAAACTTGAACATCTGAATTGTGTTTGCCACTGTCCTAAACAATCCCTGGCTTCAAAGCCACAGGAGATCACCCATTGCCATCACCCCCCAGCCACAGGGCGGCCCTGGAAACATAACAACAGAGCTCCAGTGAGAGAAGTGTAAACAGGAGAAGTCATCTGGGTCTCCCACAGCCACCCTCTTCCCAACCACCAAAAGGAACAATGGTACAGGAAGCCGGGGGCTGCTGCTCTTGGGCAGTTACGCAAAGCAAGCTGGCACCCAGCACAGCTTTTGTTCAGAGATTTCTTTTTAAAAAAAAAAAAAAAAAAAAGTCAATCCTCTTATAAACAATTTAGAGGGTTTTCTCCCTTGGGAAAGCATGTGGCTGCTTTCCTGGTTTACCCCATTTTCAGTGAGATCATTTTAGAGAGCCCATGGGCTGGGGTGGGACCACCATGCTAGCTAGTGGCTAGCAACTTGCTCCATGAGAGCATGAATGGACTAAGGTCTCGAGATACATATATGGTTTTTTTTTTTTAATATTCTAACTTAAAATAGTCTTCTAGACCTCATCTTTAATAGAGTCCCTGTCCATTCAGAGCCTTTCATAAATAACCCCACAATTAATGGTGGCAAAGCCACGCACTTGAAATATACGGGGCTGTGTTTTGTTTACAAGAAAGTTTTGATCCTCAGATAAAAATAGAGCCTCTGGGATTCGAGTAAATTTACCTGCTGTCTCCAGAAGCCTCAGGTTTAACCCATCTTGGGAAGAGTTCAATCTCAGGTGATGTGGAAATCTATCTTCACAAGCAGCTCACAAGTACTTTGAAAGGCACAATTAACTAACCCCCCTTCCCCACTGTGATAATCTGGGGAGACATGCAAGGCTCTCATAAGTGCACCCTTTAATTGGGTTTATTTCTGTGTGGATTTCTATCCAGAACACATGATGGAATTATTACCTAATCAGGTCAATATACAGAAGTCTTAAGGCAGATCTCATCAAACCCCTGCTAGAGACGTCTCAATTCTTCCCCAATGCACTGTGGGTAGGATCAAGATGTCTTATAAGGCCTTTCAGAATTTCTCTGGAACCTGACCTGGTCCCTACCTATCTAGGTGCCACTGTGTTCAAGGACACCTATTTCAGACTGTCACATATCTGAGACTTTTCCTACCATCTTTCTGCTCTCTGTTTTCCTCAAGGCCAGCCCCAAATCTGGCCGGAATGTTGTCTCCAGGGTCACTTCTTTCTACATCCTTGCATTCTCCTTGCATGTCTGCCACTAAACTTCAGCACTCTTCAATAACAACTTTCTCTAACTTAAAAATAAGTTTTATGAGTTCAGGAACCATGGAGGTCTTTATTCATTGTTGAATCCCTACCGGCCAGCATATGTGCCGGCACAGGATGCTCATCGTCACTGACTACAGAATGAATAAAGAACGGCATGCCTGTTCATTTCTACCCTACTTGCTCTCTATCCCAAATTTCAGGCCCACTTACCAACTCACACCCCATTCTTTCCCTCTCCGTAAAATTCTTCCCTAGGCTTCCTGTTTTTCAGTGTTTAAACACACGCGGCATACAAAGTATCAGAGACGGGCCTGCAACAGGTGCCCAATAAATGTAGCTAAATTTATTAAGGCCATAATCACTTCTTCCAAAGTAGACTTGTGGCCCTACTTCAAGTGTCCCTCTTTCTCTACTCCCTCTAAATTTTCACATACTCCCAGGACCATTTGTTAGTGTAATGTTTTTCTTTTTCTTTTTTTTTTTTTTCTACCCGACACTATTTCTTCTTTCTTAAATTAATGCATTTTAAAGAGACATTTGTAAAACTTTGGAAATCTATTTTCAAAGGACCAATTGCGATCACAACCACAGTGAAAATAAACCCATATGCTTCTATTTAATTAAAAAATAATATTATTTACAGTTATGGGAAATGTGACGATATTATTGACATTAACAAGACATCTATACCTCTCTCCATAATGTGATTTACAACACTTAATGACTTCTTTGCTCCGCACATCAATATTATCTGCAGCCATAAGTTGCGTTTTGAAATTGCATTCATACTTCACTTACATTGTACTTTGGCATTATATGTTTATGAGTAGAGCTCAACACACTTTTCTTTAAACTCTCTATGGTTGTTAGGTAAATGTTTTGTATAGAATACATGCTTAATGCAGTTTTTGTTTTTGTAGGACAGGGAATTGAACAGTGTCTTGCACACATGTTCAATCAACTAACGCTATCTATAACTTTGGCCCCCAAAAATAGTTAAGGTTGTATCTACTATTGAGAGTTTTGAATGAACAGATCAAAAAAGACTATTCTTTCAAAGTTTGAAATCCCTTACAAAACAATTTTTCTCTGTTCTAGTTCATTTTTTTCTTCCCGGATGTATGTGCCTATACGATCATATAATTAATTATCAAGGAAGCAAATGGGAAGAGGACTCAATGAAAGAAATGTGTTCGTTATGAGCATGCGTACACCCGAAGTAAACCCCAGATTTACAGACGAAACGAAGACCAGACAGAAGCAGGGAAAATCTGAACATGTGATTTATTATATTTAAGATTGGTCTATGAGGCTTAAATATGTCTGTCAAAGTTAACAGCAAATGAATGCAACTTTACACAATCAGTGTTTCACTATAGAACAGGACTACATGTAGTGACTATGCACAGAAAATTCATATTTCCTCGATGCAAATGTTTAGTCTACAGCACCGTGTGGAAGCTTCTACTTGGATCATGAGCCGCAGTGTTCACTACAAGCTCTACTCTAAATCAAGCATTAGAGGAAAAATAGCAGTCATTCAGGCTTAATATGTCAGATTTGGTAGAAGATTAAAATACTAAGTGTTTTTTCTTTAAATGTCCTGCTTCAAATTAATAAATACAAACACAATATAAAAATATACACCAGTTGCTGAGACTACACTGCACATGCCCAGAGATTTAAATCTCACTCTCGTACGTATGCAGGTATGTCTTGAGTGTCAGAATTTCTGAATAGCTACGACTAGTCTTCCGGTAGAAGTCCAAACCGGTGAGATGCTCAATGTCCCGCACCCGAGCTGTGTGCATCTTCATGAGTTCCTCTACCCACTTGGACTCATCCTCTAAGCTCTGCAAGGGAAATGAAGCAATCAGATTTTTTTTTTTCTAGAAAAGATTATCTGAATGGTCATTTCCATACTCCTGCACACAGACCTAAAGCATGCAGTTCCTGCCTGACCCTCCCCTAGTGACTGAATTCCTGTCAGAAATGCACCACACATTCCTGCCCTGGACTTTAAGCATGTTCGGAACAATCAGCAGTGCCAAACAAATGAGAAACACGGTGTGAAGAGTCATAGTTTGTACCAGGTTCTCAAGGCACAAAACAAATTTAAGAAAATCTTGACCCTCCAGAATCTGATCAATTCTTTTTCCTCTCAGCTGTCAAAAGTATGGTTGAAATCAGCACACACTCAATATGCAAGGCTCTTCTAGCTCACACAATAATCAGGGGCTGGTGCCTGCCATAGGAAGCTAGTGTGTATCCCAAGGCTGCTCAGAAGCCATCGGCTGGATAACAACCAACCATGCAGTTGACAGCAGTGAATTACTTTCTGATACTGAGTTCAGCTTGAAATGGGGCAATTGATATATTTGGCACTCTGGGCCCAAAAAGTCTGAGTTGGAAATTTGGTTTCACCATTTCCTTGTTTCAGGGACTTGGTAAAGCTCCTGATGCCCCACCCCTCCACCAAACTTCATCGCTTCACAAGTGTATTAATGCTTACTTTGCAGGCTCACTGGAAGACAGAAAAATAAATTAAAGGGAGAGGCATAAAGAAAAGAAAAATGAGTCAGTAGTAACACCACCAAAAAAAGGGAAGGGAATCGCCTTTGGCCTTTGCTCCTCACTTAAAAATAGTCTCACTGGCAAAACTCTAGGCTAAAAACCATACAAAATGACAGAACAGTGTATTCCATGTCTAATTTGAAACTAAAAGACACATCAGATGAAGCAACCCTCACATCTCAAAAAATATTTCAATTTTGGGGGAAAATGGAGGAGAGGGCCTAATAAGATCCGAGTATCCTACAAATTGAGCCAAAATCTCTCCTTATTAGTAGCCAGGGGCATGAAGGCAACACCACTATCTACTGTCTCTGAACTGAAATGTCCAGTGAGAGTCTTCAGAGTGGTTTACTAGGTGCTGCACAGCCCAGGAACGAGAATATTCAGACCTGCCCTCACCTAACTCTTGACTACTTGTGATCTCCGTGAACCAGCCACCAAGGCCCATGAACCTGCAAAGGTTTTCTCTGAAAGCTCCAACCCACACAGAGGAAGACCAAGAGTGACAGCAGCCCAAGCCAAGTATAAACATGTACCATGAGCTTGTTGGTTCAGGAAACCAATGCCTGGCCATTCCAGGCAAAGTGTAGAAATGGCTTTGCAGGCAGAAGCTAGGAGTCAGGCCTTTCATAACCTACCCTCCTGCCTAACCTAAGATTTCTGCAACTCCCAATAAAGTCTAACCTAAATTTAGCCCTCCCCACAATGCTACTGACCAGTCTTTGGGACAACCATGTAATTAACAAAGTAGGAGGTCTCCTGATGGGTCAAGACCTCCTCAGGGTAAGCATAAGGTTATATTTTGGGAGAATTTTCGTGTTTTGCTCTGTTGTTGGATTTTTCAATGGTCAGTGAGTCCAACGTTTCCTTTCAAAATGTAGTTATGTGAATATGTGGACAGAGTTGAGAAAGATTTCCTTAATTCAAAATTACAGCAAGCTAGAATATAAGAATTCAAGAAACAGGAAAGACAAAAAAAAACTTTAAAAACCACTAACAGCGTATTAATGCAACCAAAAACACAATCATGGTTTTTTGTTTTGTGCTATGTATATTCATTCTTTTTAAAGTTTGATTTTTTATTTTTTACTCTATGTGTGAGTGTTTTGTCCACATTATGTCTCAGCACTGCCTGTCTACAGTGTCCACGGAGGTCAGAAGTACCCACTGTAGTGACTGGAAGATTTCTAAGAAACTGAGATATACTTTAAGTAGCCTACCATATGTTTAAATGTCTATGTGACCTTTACTTTAAATTTAGGAGCAACTTTGAATTTCATTTTATATGTGTTTAGTTTACCTCCCAACAGGCTTTTAGTAAAACAGGTTTTCTCAAGGGAAGTACAGTGATGTTGCAAGGGTTATTATATTCCCCTATGAACATCCACAACTAAAACATCAAACCAATGAACTGATGACACCCTATTTCTCACTTTCAGTCCCCTCCACGCTTCCTCCTTTCCAGCCACAAGCAGGGCCTCAGAAATCCTCTGGTTACAATACTTCTGCCTTCCAGCCTCCTCGTTAAGTATCTAAGACCATACCCCAGGTCCAGTTCTGTGATTTCCTTCTTACAAATCTTGCCAATACCTTTTGAATGCCGTGTTCAGCCTCCTCCAACTTAAACTCCTTAATGCAAAACCTAAAATGTTGCTCCTCTGAAGAAACATTTTTCTTGCTTATCTAATTGCACAATAAGAAAAACTACTGGCATTCTACAGATATCTGCGAATTATCTTTGTAACTTAAAGTTCCCTACCCTACGAACTAACCAACATCTTTTAATAAATACAAGTTCCTTAGAAGTTAACAATAAGGCAGGAGAAAGAGAGAGCTTACAGGGTGATTAGATAACAGGAACAATATATGTAGAGGACTTACACAATACTTGAATCATAACACATACTCAGTAAATGGTCACAATGAATTCTACAGCTATTATAACCAGCATTAATACAACTACCACTATAGTTTTAAATCTCTGATAATGAGCAATTTTTAAAAAATATCACCCATTGCTTCTTAGTCTTTTTGATACTATCAAATATAAAATACTATCTCCCATCAAATTTAATATTCTAGAAAAATGTAACTAGCTTCTTATACCATAGTTCACATTTCTAATATTTCCCAAAGTTTTTATTTTGCTTTGAATAGTCATGACCTAAATTCATCATCCATAACCGAAATTTTGTCCAAGAGCCATACTGCCCATGAAGCATGAATATGATCTTGATTGAACCAATTGTTATGGCACATTATTTTATTTTTTGTTTTTCAAGATAGGGTTTCTCTGTGTAATAGCCCAACTGTCCTGGAACTTACTTTGTAGATCAGGCTGACCTCAGACTTACAGAGATCCACCTGTATCTGTCTCCGAGTGCTGGGATTAAAGGCATGGACCACTACATCCAGATGGCATTGTATTTCTTAATGTCATTATTTCTGTTCATGTTTTATTTTCAGCCTTATATGGTAGGATGTCTAGAAGTTTCTGGCTGTGTCTAATGGTGCTTTTTCTTTTAGAACAATGTACACAATTTGAGTATAATTTATTGACTAACAATCCCCTTCTACTGATTTCATCCCTGTACTTTCTATTAATGGAATAAAAGCATTATCAGCTATTATTTCTAGACTCAAACTTGTAGCAAAGAGTTTCCATCACAATAAATGTGTATGAAGAGAATATATGACTTGTCCAAGTTTTAACTCTGTTTGTGCACATGGCATGGCCTATCTTCCCGCTGAGGGATTTTCCTTTTTTAAATTTAATATATTTTATTTATTTTATGAGTGTGGGTAGTTTGTTTACATGGATGTCTGTGCAACAGGTGTATGCTTGGTGTGTCTACAGAGGCCAGAAGAGGGTATTGAATCCCTGGGACTAGAGTTCCATGTGGTTGTGAGCCATTATGTAGGTACTGGGAATTGAACTCTAGTCCTCTTGAAGAACAGCCAGAGCTCAGCCAATTCATAACCTCTGAACCATCTCTGTGGCCTCTCCTAAGGGCCTTTTCATTCTATCATCTGCTTCCTAGCTCTCTCCACCTGAAAACAAACAATACAGGAGTCATCTATGCTATGAAATGACTGCTATATCTTCCCATAACTAGTAACAAAAGATAATCTGACTAATAAGTATTACATGTATGTGTGCATATGTTTTAAAAGCTTTTATTATGAGTATTTTCAAGCATCCGCAAAAGAAGAGATTAACATAGTAAGTGCTTTTCAACTCTCATTCTACCCCAACTAGTATCAAAATTTTACTGTTTTCCTTTTTGGTACATCCTTTTATCTTTGTGAAGATAAAAACATCTGGGCACTTCATCATTTGTGAAACTGATATATATATATATATATATATATATATATATATATATATATCTGTGTTAAATTTACACATATATGCACACACACACTAAGTGAAAAACACAAAACTATTATTATGAAATACCAGGTGCCTATATATTCAGTAAAGTTCTACTTGGGCCATTTCCCCTTTCCATTTGGTTGGGTGACCCATGTGGTTCATTCTGGTTCAATAGTGCAGCTACAAGTTAAGAAACAGAGCTGAGTCTGAGAGCACAGCCTGGAGGACTCTGCCTCTGAACTCACATTGCAGCTCTCATCGTTGTCGGGTCGGTGAGGAAGGATGAAAGAGGACACGGAGAGTGGACCATCACACTTGTCTGCAGGCTGAGTGAAGTCTAGGCAGCTGGTGATGATGCTGTAGTAATGAGTTGGCACAGGAATAGAGCTGCCTTCCACATACCTGAACCAGGAAAGTAAATACAATAAATACAATTACAAGACATATCAAAACTTTCTCTTTAGAATGCTTACCCATGATGACACTCTGCTAACCTACTTTAAAACATGATGTCCTCTCTGCCTGGAATTGTCTCCCTGCCTCTACCTGGTAGAAGGAGAAAGGTATTCCAAGAAAATAAAGTAGCTGGATTGAGGAGTTGGAGGAAGATTAGAATAACAAAGTTGAGCAAAGACTAGAGAAGTCTATAAAAGACAATTGTGATGGTTTGTGAATGCCAGGATCTAGAGTTTAGGTGCTATGGCTCAGGCTGCAACGCTCCATTGAAGGCTTGGGGGATATGGAGTGTCGATGTAAGATTTGTGTTTCAGAAATATAACTATCACAGGTATAGAAAATGGTCTAGAGTTACAAGACACTGGGTGTAGAGGAGTAACAGCACTTTTAGTCTACACTGATAGCCTGAACTTGACACAAAAGGATGCACCAACATGAAGAATGGGAGATGAGCCTAGTGCTATTAAATGGGGTTTCTCCAGTCAAGCAAAGCGTACACATTTAAATTCCTCTTCCAGCTTGATGCTATAATTTTAGTCCTTTTCTAAATCTTGAAACTGAGTGAACTTAATTTTGTTTAAAAAGTATCAAAATGACCAACAATACATAAGTGATTAGGATAAAATTTCTCTACTGAATTACAAAGAATGGAGTAAGTCGATGTCTATACTATTAATTATCTGTATTTCAAAATAGCATTTTCTTTGCTACTGTCTATTATTTATATACTCTGTGTTAACTTCTGATTATTTGTGCATGTATAAATGCACTAGATTACATACACCTTATAGGCACAGTGTTTAACCTTATCTTTTTATATCCCCAATAGTACCAAGGGGAGAGAAAATAATTGAATTAAAAAATTTTATGCAACTTTCCAATAAGGCAAACTGACTCAAAAAATAGAAAAGACTCCAAAAGTCTCCAATATAATGGAAATAAATCAAAATCACAAGTTTTCTGCTGAAGAATTGTTGAAGAATAATGACAATTCCAAAAATATTATTAATACATCTTTTTTTTTTTTTAACCACAAAATCAAAATTTCACTCTAACTACTAATGCCACATTTAATCGAAGGTCGAAAACAACTAAAGATTTTAATAGTAAGATTCAAAGGGAAAAGAATTAAGCATACAAACTGTCCTCTAGCATATGATATCCTTGAGTGATGTCTCAGAACGTAGGCATCTCTCACAGAACACAAAAAAAGAAGCTCACTGTTTGATTTCATCCTCAGTGTCACGTAAGCCATCATAATTGTAGTCAAAAATTGGTCCACTTATTACATTGACTCCATTCCTTTCTGAAGCATATTTCTTCACCAAAACCCTTTGGAAATAAGTCCAGATACCTGTGCAAAGACACAAATCAGTTCTTCATGCACAAAAACACTTGTTTCAGACAAACTCTGTGTGGGGTGCCTTCTTCAAGTGCAAATGTCGGGAGCCAAGAGCTGCTGTGACTCACGAAGACCTGTTCTCCAGTGTTACCTTTATTATTCACTATGAACTCGTAAAAGGAAAGATAAGAGCAAGCAGGGGATAAGAGATAGAGGGGAGGTAGTAAGCCTGGCCCAGGAGGTCAGGAAAGTTCCCAGTGGAGGTTAAACAGCCGAGACCCCAGGCAAAGGATGGGGGAGTAGAGGATGCTAGATAAGAGTTACAGTATGTGCAGAAGAGGAAGTATTTTAGCCACTAGGCAAGTAAATCTTCAGAGCTCAGACAATAAAATTTCCTAAATTCAAGGGCTAGGGAATGGAGCTCAGCTGGCAGAGTCCCGGTTTCCCTCTCTGTGCTGCATACACTATATGATGGCAAACAACTATACCCTGAAGCCGGGTGGTAAAGACAGGAGATCCTTCCCAGCCTAACAGCAAGTTCAAAGGTAGCAAGACTGCGTGGAATATGTCTCAAAAGGGGATAAGCATTGAAGGACATAGATATGTGGTGGAGTGTGAGTCTAATGTGTGTGGGCTCTGAGCTCAATACACAACACTGAAAAAAAATGGCACTTTTATGATTATGCAGTCACTGCTCACACTCCACTGGGTTTTGAGGGCCAAAGTTTAAGGTGCTTATTTAGTTACCAGAATCACTATGATCCACGAATACTCATCTTGTGACCAGATAAATGATATGGTCAAAGAAGCTAAAATAATAATTTGTATGACCTTAAAATCATCTGAATTAGTATTCTGATAAACAAGAATATTCACAATCCTCTTCTAGGTTTTGGGGTTAACATTCAGAAAACATGAGCACCCTAAAGAAAAAGGTGTTCATGGCCCTTGTGGACACATTCAATTCATAAATATGGATGTTGTGAAGGGTACAAGTGACCTCTAAAATTCAGTAAGATTCCATCATAAAAATAATAAACATTAAAATAGAAAGAACTGCCCATTCAAATGTGGTTCATTTCGGCTCTATCACTCATGACCTGGGTCACTTTTTATGATGTCAACTTCCTAATTATAAGCAAGGGCTAGATGACTTGCCAGCTTCTCTCTCAGGCAGGACAACTGTAGAGAATTTATATAAAAGGTCTTCAAAAGGTATAAAAGCCAAACATTTGCAAGGTATTATTAAAATCAGCATGGAGGTAAAAAAAGGTTAAGTGGTAAACTTAAAGCATTTATTTTCTAAGTAATAGTTTATTGGGTAAATATTATACTTACGTCTGAAAGCAGGATACATTGGAACCATGTTGGTTACAAGGAATGCATCATATTTAGCTTCTGGGGAAGAGCTCAGATCTAATCAGGAAAGCAAACAGAATACATTGTTTGTCTGTATTGATATCAACAGAGAAGAAGATTTCTAGGCCAACCCAAATAGCTAGAAGCCAGTGGATCTACACTTTTATTTCTACTCATTGCCCCATTAAACATATCCGACTTTATTCCCATTCAGATGCTTCCCTTCCCTCAACAACTCTCAAGGTATTTTTAGCCCTTTTCCTCCTACAGATTTCTTGAGTCTATAGCTCTCTGATTCCATTATTATAACTTAGACCCTTAAAAATGTCATTAAGATAATAAGATGTAATTGTTTGTAGGAAATCACCTCTGTAGGGCTGTACCACTAAAGAGCTTCCTACCCAAGCTCAGGCAAACGACTCTTATTAAACTCAATGGGCCACACACAAAAAGAGGACATGGAAATAGGCAGGAGACTTGGTGAAAAGAAGGCTCCCAGCAGGAGGCAGGGTGACAGAGGTCAATGGCAGATAAAAAGGACAGAGGCATCATATGAACATATGAAACTGTCAAATGAAGAACTTTTCTTAAGAAAGAATTAACATCCTTATAACTTATTATTTCTTTCACACTCCCTTTAACAACGGGGAAGGAGAACAAGTTTCCCCTATACTTCAGATTTTTCCAGAAGAACAAGATGTTTGAAAGTTGGTCATTTTCAAGTCAATTTCGGGAGGATCTCAGTCTCCCAAATGCTTCCCAATGAAAAAATCGTGGACCACTGAAATCCTAACCAGTGAGTCTCAAGCACGGGATTGTACCTCCCATCCTGACACACATATATATACACACACACAGTGATCAGACCCTGATAAGCTGCAACTTACAGGGAGGAAAAAGGAATCCATATGACATCTGTTTATCGTTTTTATAGGCCAAACAGTTCTGACTGAATTCTGGAGACACACGGACATCAGGGCGAACGCAGTGGGTCAGATGCTCGGGGATGCTGGAGACCTCAGCCTGCATTTGGGGTCAGAGACACTCAGTGACACTTTTTCAGAGATGGGACCAAAGGCACAGACATAATGTTCTATTATGAACAGCTCAAACCTAAACGTACAGCCTTTCTATATTTTATAATCTGGTATTTTAAAAAGTCTTTCTTTTCTTTCTTTCTTTTTTTTTTTTTTTTTTTCAGACAGTTTCTCTGTGAAACAGTTCTGGCTGTCCTGGAACTCACTCTGTAAACCAAACTGGCCTCAAAGTCCATCCCAGAGATTAACCTGTCTCTGCCTCCAGAGTGCTGGGATTAAAGGCGAATGGCTCAGTTAAAACTTCTTTTTTTTATTTAAAGACTACAATGAATACAAGATGCCAAAAAAAATCTCAATCTCTTAGCTTTCTGCAGTGGACTTGTTTTTAGCAAAGTCTGAAGTCGAACACTGCATAAAGTGGAAATCTTACTGTTGAAAAGACCATTTAAGAACAACAACAAGAGCAAAAAGACTAAAGCCCATAGCTGGGAACAGCGATGCACACGTGAAATCCCAACATTCGAGAAGCAGAGCCAAGAAGACTGCTCATAAGTTCATGGCCAGCCAGGTCTGTATAGCAATTTCCAGATTAGCTGGGGTAAGACTGTGTCAAATGCCAAACAACAAAAAGCCAGCCAAATGCTCTTTCAAATAAGAGATACGTGCTGGGAAGACAGCCCCATCAGTAAAGCACTTGGCTTTTGTGTATGTGAGACCCCGAGTTGAATCCTCAGAACCCAAGTAAAAAGTCAGGCACAGTGGGCTCATTTGTGATCCCAGTGCTGACAGGCAAATCCCACTGTTTGTTGGCCATCCAGCCTAGTAACTTAGTAATGTCAAATTAATGTGAGATCTTATCTCACAAAAATGATGTGGATGGCATCCATGAGGAATCACACACATGTATACAAATACATACATATGCATAAATACACACATGCACACATATATATCCCTTCTTTTAAAAGTATACATCTCTGTCTCTCTGTCTCTCTCTCTTTCTCTCTCTCTGTATGTGTGCACATACTTGCATGTATGCACACACACTAGAAATTAACAAGATTTTTTGGAAAGTAGTATTCTTGTCGTTTACATTTACATGTTGAAAATGTTTCTAAGTATATATACTTGACACATCAAATATACATGTATTTCAACTATAAAATAAGTTGTTTCTAAAAAAAAGTTGTTTCTATTTTCTGATCTGTAGCTATCTCATCCTTATGAAGCTGAAATTCTAATTAAAATGTTCTTTATTAAAATAGAAATGGGGGCTAGAGACAGAGCTCAGCAGTTTAGAGCACTTGGTGATACTGCAGAGGACTTGGGTTCAGATCCCATCACCTACATGGTAACTCATAACCATTCATAAATCCAGTTCCAGGGGATCCTATGCCTGAGGCATGTGATGCAGATATATACATGCAGGCAAAAACACACGTAAACTAAAATAAGAGAACCTAGTAGGTTTTTTTTAAAATTCTTGGCAATTTTCAAAAAGTAAAATAAAATTCAAAGATGTTAAAAGTACGGTCAGGCTGAGCATGGCTATGTCTGGGGACTCTTGCTACTTCTCACTAAGTCTGACTGCTAAACTGAGAACTACCCTAAAAATTAGTATCTGTTTAAAACAAGCAAATAAACCAACCTTGATGGCATCTGTAACTACTGGGCAAAATGTAACACTTTAACAAAAAGAACCTAAAAGCATTATTATGTTTCTTTCAACACTTAACATATTGTAGTAGATCAGACAGAACACTGAATAAATGGTAGTTTAAAAATGTTTTGCAAAAAAGCAGGAAAATTGTTTCTCCAAGACTGGCATATAAGTTTAATCACTGGGCCCAGAGTGGATGGAGAGAACCAACTCCACAAGCCGCCCTTTTACCTCATGGGCATGCCATGGCACATGTGAATTCGCATACACACACACACAAATAATATTACAGTAGATACAGGTTCTTTAATCAGAAAAAAAAATTAAGGTAAAATCTATTAGTCAAAACACTTATTATATAACTTAAAGAGTATAAGCCCCAAATTTCTCAATAACCTGCTTAGAAAAGGTATATGATGTCCAGAGAGGCATTAATAGTATTTCACTATAACCACTTTCAAAATCCGTGTGGTATAAGATATCGTATCTAGTCCGATAAAGCACAGCAGGTCGTCCATACAGGAGATGTCTCTCTAAGAAAAAAGAAAAGAAAGAGAAAAAAAACTGTATTCAATGCATAGTCACACCAACTGTGAAATATTGGAAGAGTCACATTGCCTACAGTTTGCTAGCTTACTTATTAATAAGACAGCAATCAAGTTAGTTTTCCTAACACGTCTGTGATTTACCAATCACCTTATCAAGGGTCAAAATGATAGCATAAATGCTATGACTATGAGGATGCTTTTTTAAAATTGTCAGATTTAAATGTCTCTATAGAAAGGAAACATACAGTTCTTAGATGAGTCAGCTACAGAGAGCCAATAGGATTGGATTTTACAAAGTTAAATGATTTGACCCCGGAAGAGGTTTATCAGGTTAGTCAAGATTCAAATGAAAAAGGCTTTCTTACCATTATTTGCAAACTGCAACTGAAATGCACATTATTTCAGTATGAAAAGGGAGTAGTTAGCAGCTTTGTCTTTAGGCGCAGACTTAAAGGAACATGTATAGATAACAGAGGCAGGGATTCAAGAGAGTTCCTCAAGTGCAGACGAGAAGCCCATCTATATCACCAAAGAATTCACTTCAGACCCCTAAATGCAGATGGGTTCCTTTAAGGAAGATGGTCACTGAGGCCTTATTTACTCTGGGAGGTGAAAAATGAGAATCCAGTCCTCAAACTTTTATTCCAACCCACAGGAGAAGGTGGAGCTTGGCTTGTCCACTTGGGATAGGCTAAGCTTCCATAAATTCATGGAAACTGGCATCCCATATATTTAGAGTCCAAAGCTCAGCAAACTCAATTCTAAGTGATTTAGAAAGAAACCTGCTTTTACTATAATTTTTATTAAAGAAAATCTGGCAAGCACTTATTAAATTATGTATACATGTTGCTTTAATTAAAGTGCTACCCTTCTATGCAAGGAGTGGAGAAAACATGTTCACACGATACTCTGCAAACCCCTCCCAAGTAGAACTGCTGATTTGCGGCAGTGGCCAATGATATCCCAAGGCAACCAACTTCTGGGTAGTCTGGCTTCCTGAGCCTTGCAATAAATGGAGAAGCCTCGCTTAAGTTGCCAGACCTGGGGGTCTGCCCTTAAGAATCAGAATGTACCATAATGTTATTAAATAAATAAAATCTAATAAACAAATTAAAGCCAGCAAATCCAGTAATAGTACTTGGGGGCCATAAATCGACCCAGATTTTCCTTTCAAACTCAGACCAAACCTTTTCTAGGTTCAAAATTTCCATTAAGGTTTTTCTTGTTTTCATTTTTGTTGCCTCCGAATTTCCTGGTTTCAGCTGGAAGCAGAAGTATCGAAATTCTTTGAGAAGTTGTTCTGTCAGTTGAGTTTTAAAGCTTACCAAGTGTGGAGGTTTACATAAGAATGGCCTCCATAAGCTCATTTATTTGAATGCTTAGTCATCAGGGAGAGTAACAATTTGAAAGGATTAGAAGGATTGGGAGGTGTGGCCTTGTTGGAGAAAGCATGTGACTGGGGGTGGCTTTAAGGTTTCAGAAAGTCCCTGTCAAGCTCAGGTTCTATCTATCTCTCTGCCTTTCTCTCTCTACTGGTACCTATGGATCAGGATGAAGCTCTCAACTACTTCTCCAGCCCATGACTGTCATGCCTGCTGCCACATTTCCCACCATGTTGGTAATGGGCTAAGCCTCTGAAACTATAAGCCAGGCCCAATTGAATGTTTCCTTTAAAATAGTTTCCTTTAAAATAGTGTCTCTTCACAGCAATAGAACAGTGACAAAGACACCAGTGTATTCCTCCAGACTCATACTCCCTCATCTGTCCCATCAAGAGGCCAGCAGATGAGCAGCCATCTGCCCACATGTGGCACCATCCGTAGAGTAACCACCAAACAATAGTATCAATGGTTGACAATCTCTGGCCCTTCCTCCAACTTCCTCATTTCTTGGCATTTTCCAATATTACTCTCCTTTCCCCAGGGGTTGGTTTGTTTGGAGTATCCCACTCATGACTGTTGTAAACAATTCTATATGGTACACATGTTTCCCCCCACTCTCTGCTAGTGATAGTTTATATTCTTCCTCATCACTCTTGTCTCTTAGAGTATGTGTTCATGCTGGATGTGTGTGTGTGTGTGTGTGTGTGTGTGTGTGTGTGTGTGTGTCTGTGTGTGCGCGCACGCGCAAGCGCGGGTGTGTATGTGTTTGTTCGTGCATGTGGAAGACAGAGGTCAACACCAAATGCCTCTGTTTCTCTCCACCTTAGTTTTTAGCACAGGGTCTTCTCTCCCTAAATCTAGAACTCACAGATTGAGCTAGAAGGGCTGCCCAGTGAGCCCTAAGGATCAACCTATCTCTTCAGCCCAGTTCTAGAATTATAGGCATGCATTGCCATGCCCTTTTTTTTTTTTTTTTACAGTGGTGATGGGTATGCAAACTCATGCATTTTGTGGCAGACACATTGCTAATTGAGCTGTCTCCTTAGTCATAATCCTGTCCCTTAGCTCTTTGCACATCACTTCATTGAACATTTACTAAGGTCCAGGTCTTGCGCTAGAGAATGGAGATACTGAAGAAAGATGGCTTCGAGCTCTTACCCTCAAAGATTTCACAGTCCAGTGACAATCCTGCCTTCTACAACCAACATGTAGTGTAAGCTATACTGTCTGGTGTCCACACAGGGTGATGGGAAAGCAGATAAGACATTTTACAAACAAGCATAACCTAGCATGTGAAAGGCCTTTATAGGGCATAATAGTAAACCATTGGTTTACATCTGTTGCCCTTATATAACTGTTAACAACCAGAAGTGTCTGACAAACAATATAGTCCTCGAGTTTTAAATAAAAAAGTTCAAGAGACATGAGGAAAAGGGAAGATGAGGCATGAGATTGGCAGGACATTGTGAGGAGTCTCCCCAGGAAGCCTCTCCATCTCCATCTGCTCTTTGGTACAACCCACAAAGTTGGGGTTTACTTCGGAAATCAAGTCCACAGCTTCAAGCTGTTGATACAGCTGCAGCTTTTTGAACACAGCCAGAACACAAACATATCATTATCTCATTTGCTTTTTTTGTCAATTCTTATCGAACTTATGAAGAAAAAAAATACACAATGATATCAACAACCTCCCAAAAATCCAACCCACCTGGCTCTCTAGAAATTTACCCTTCTCTCTTTGAGGCTTAATAATTAATACTTTACACAAGGAAGAAGAGAAATCATCTTCCTAAGAAAAATGAATTTTGAGATTCAGAATCAAGATTAGGTTTTACTGTTTCATTGTCTGCAAATCACAAGTCCAGACATGGTTCAGCTGTTAGTCTTGGACATCTCAGGGAACCACACATTGCATTTCTCTTTAACACACTTTAACAAAATGCTCCTACTCAGACTACAAAATGGATTGGACTCTCAGTCTTCACACATGCTAAAATATTTGTCTCAAAGTCAGCCTACAAGCTCTTTTTCTGCAACATATTCTCCTGGTTTCATTGTTAATTTCCCCTACTTTGATTTCTGACCTATGTAGAGTATTGATATTTTGAATATTTGATTTTAAAAATTTTTAGAAATTTTTACTGGGTACATTTTTTACTGGCCACATATTTATGTGGCCTGGTTCCAGCACAAAATTTTTAATGGTCTGATTGAATAGGTAGAGTAATTAACTTAAATATGTATTTCCTTGTGTTGGGACACTGAAAATTTTCTCCACTAGCAGAACTGAAATATACAATTAATTAAGTGTGGTCAGTTATAGCTGCCTTGCTATGCTATAGAACTTCTGAAGTACTTTATATATCCAACAGCACCTTAGCATCCTTTAACCATCTTTTCCCCCATGATTTGTACTGTATATGTGTGTGTGATGTGAGTATGTACATGCTAATGCTTGTGTGCATTTGCAAGTGGAGGCCAGGAGTTGATATTAGCTGTCTCCCCCACTCCTTCACTCTTTTACTGTTCTTTGAGACAGGGTCTCTCACAGAACTTAAGGCTTACTGATTAACTAGACTGGCTGGCTAGGAAAGTCTAGAGATGCACGCATTTCCTCCTCCCAAGTGCTGGGGTTACAGAAGCATAGCAGGCCTATTTTTTTTTTTGTTTTTTGCTTTTTGTTTTTTTAACATGGCTGCTAGGTATCTTGCTTGCACTGAAGGCACTTCACAAGTGAGTCACCTCCCTAGAGCCCTCTTGAGATTTCCTGACGTGGATCTAGTGTAGTTCATGTCTTCCCAGGCTGAGCTCCTACTACACAGGGTTCCAGACACAGCCTTCCTTCCACACCCAAGCTCCCTGTTTACAGTAGCATCTCTGGCATTTTAGCATAGGCCAGCATTGCCCTCCAGACACCACATTTGGCAAAAGACCGTGAGCCGATTCTTTTAAGTGGTGTGGACTTCCCCAGAATTCACTCTTTTTGTCTTCCAAAGTTTAGTCATTCGGACTCAAGTTTGTGTTTCGTCTCCCTCCTCTGCTTCCTGATTCATACTTCAGCAGATGGACTTGGAGCCACATGAAAAATCCTTCTCCCTTTCTGTTTTCTTAAACAGTCACTCCCACAGTAACATATGCTTAAAATTTACCACAAAGTTTCTACAATAAAAAAAAAAAAAAAAAATAAAAAAAAAAAAAAAACAAAAAAACTTTCTTTTTCCTTTCTCCTTCTCTGCCTTGCAAGCACCTATTGTCATTCACTGCCATTTCAGCCTTCATGGGAAACGATTCCATGCTTTCAGTCACACCTTTTGCTTTCCAGTTCCATCATTAAAACATCCAGTTGTAAGCTGGTGGTGGTGGCACACTCCTTTAATCCCAGCACTTGGGAGGCAGAGGCAGGCATCAATGGGAGTTCAAGGCCAGCCTGGTCTACTGAGTGACTTCTAGGACAGCCACGGCTACAGAGAACTCTTGTCCTGAAAAACCAAAACCAAACCAGACAAGAAATGTTCTGCTGTAATTCATCTGCTTGCTAAACCTTACAAGAGAACGATCACTTTATGAAGACAGGGACTAAATCCATGTTATATAGTCTGCCTC